TCCATCAACGATTAATAATCCACGCAGAGCGCCATCTACAACCCATGTCGTACCAACGTACGAAAATTGAACAAATAATGGAAAGTAACTCCTAGCTAATCATCTCCATCCGCGCGAATAACCCCCTGTCTGACAAACTGCGAGGGAGGTCTAATATTACGCGAGTACCTACATACTATTACACATGGTGCAATGGCCAGGGCACACCGACGATACGCTCGGTTGGTAGGATATCCTTTGGAACACCCCGCAAGGGGCTCGTTTGTCTAACCAGGCCCCCCCTCCCTACCCTCGACCGGCGTATCCACTAGCACGTGGTTATGCCCACTTCGTCATCGGGCCACGGAAAGCCACGAATGAAAGTGGAGGAGAGGGGTCGTGCGGCTCGTCGCTGCTGTAACCCACCCCTACGAGCCGCCACCGCAATGTACACACGTATCTCGAGGTGGCCCATTCCGATCCTAAATTGTAAGTAATGCTGATTATGTAAAAAGACTTTACGAGACGTTATTACCGTCGTTGCGATTACGATGTTATACGAGCGGCAGGGCGCGCGCGGCCCCGTGGCGCTCGTAACTCCGTGGCCACCCCCTCGAGTCACCACCCCCTTTACCTTTTACGCGTCTCTAGTTCTACCGTGCGAGATTTATTGTCAGACTCGAATTCTCGGGTTCTTGATTCGAAAAATTGTTTTGAGGGTTGTTACGCGAGTTTGCATTTTTATGTTTTATCTTTGGAATTGGAATATTTGTGAATGGGTCTTGAGCGACATTTGCTGTTTAATTGATAACCTTGACTTTTGTGATCCAGAGACGATTAAATTTCTGATAATCTAGTTTTAGTCTTAATATGTCTAGTATGTTTTTCCTAAAGTTATAAGATTATTTCAACACGCGAGACAGAGTAGACGAGGCAATAGGTCGTATATCGAATTAATTTTATCAAAGTACAACTAGCCATGGTTGATAAAACAATTAACGATTCGAGGACAAATCTGAAAATGAGTTTAGGTTATTAGTGTTCTGAAAGTATGATAAGAATAAGCTCGACGTTCACATGAATACGAATTTAAACCACTTTGAAATCACAATTCCATTATAACAAACTAGAACTTCTTATAAACGCATAAAAGATTAATTTTATTACGAGTATCTGACCTACTACTAAGTCCTCCACCCAATCACACTGTCATTATTGGCTCAAGATAACGTCCTGCCACTATTTCTAACAGGACTAATTTTACCACGGAGGTTTTATTGCCAAACCTAAAACGTCAAAATCAGCAACTACACCCACCTCCCCTGAACTCCCCTCTCCAATCCTGACTGCACAACTCCGGCCTCTAACCGGGCAATCACGTGGTGCGCGCGATAGATAGAGGCCAACCTCGAAAATGTCCAATTACACGCAACCTTACCACCTACCGCGGCGATCGCCACCGGTGAAGTTTCGTGTTATCGATCCCCAGGCCCCGACATAGCTCGCGCGTTAATGAGGAAATCTGTGTGCGCGCGCTTGCCGGGATCGTGGGAGTAAAGCGTTGTTGACGGTTCGACGCGTTTCTACCGATGGAACAGAAGCGTCGTGGAACAGAGAGAGAGAGAGAGAGAGAGAAAGACAGAAGTTCCGAAGGATGGAAAAGAGAAGGAGGAAGGACGAAAGAGGAAGAAGCGAGAGGAGATGGAGGGGAAGATCCGCCGCGCTTGGCTCGCCTCTTTCCTTTCTCTGTCTTTCTCTCTCTCTCTCTTTCTCCCTCTCTGTCCCGCCGCTAGGTGCGCCACTGGGCTGTGGACGATGATGCGCCACAGAGATAGGGTAGATTGCAGGCCTGCCGCGCGTCCTGTTGGTGCGCCTGGCCAGAGCTGATACGGTCAGCCCCAGGATAAAGTAGATATTAACACGAGATGATCCGTTAATGAAGCGTATGTTCTACGCCGCGCACACGCCTGGCCCCCTCCCCCAGTCTCCCTCTTCTCGTTCGCCTCTCTTTCGCGCGCTGGCCCACCTCGTTTTCCTCGATACGCGGTCGCCTAACTCCCACCGCCCCTCCTCGCTGCCTCTCTCCTCTCTCTCTCTCTCACTCTCGAATATAGGAGTATATACCTATTACCAACAGCCTTTCCTGTTATCTTATCCGAACACCGGCGACCCGGCCGCGAATTATTATTAACCCGCGATAGAGTCACGAGCCTCGTCCCGGGATCGAGAGTCCTCCCGTGTAATACCTGCCTACTTTTGAGGTTATGTGTACGTGCCCGTTCGGGGACGGCGAGGTTACGTACTTGTCACGGGTGGTTGTCTACGGTTGGCGATATATATTTGATACATATTATTATATCGAGGCTCGATTTCGTTAATTTTTGATGATCGAGTATACGATTGTGTGTAAATTAACGGCGATACGAATCTCTGGATCTTTTCACGGTTTTACGTTTGAACGAGATCCTTCCAATTTAGGGAATAAAGTCTAAGCGATTTTATCTTAACCTCGACGAGAGAATGCTAACAAGAGATGTTCGAAAGATGTTTGAATTCTAATTTTATAATATTTCTGTATCGTGAAAATAGTATACTATTTTTGGTCCAATTTTGTATCTAATATTATGTGGTTAGTTTAAGTGGGAATTATGTTTTCATTATTATCTCCAGAATAAAGTTTTTTATGAATAATATCAATTTATTATAATATATCCACTGTAATATAAAATAAGAATATTTAGCAAGAATATTGTACAAATAACTTCCTATTACAATTAATCATTGAGTGTCTTTTTATATATGTATATTTTATTAAAAATTTTTATTAGAAATTTATTAGAAATTTTTGCACATGGTATGTTTTGAGTAAATTGATAATTTTATGAAAGATTTTGAAAGAAAATTTGGATTTATCACGACGATATTAAGCCAGCTGGTGGCCGGAAATTAGGATTGAGCTGGCAACACGACTCGTTCCACCAATACCCGGGCAACCTTGTTACCTTAATAGACTATTAATACGAATCGTCGGTTTACAGGCTTGACTGGTTTCAACACGATCTTGGATGCCGCTCAACCGTCACCTGCCAACTATTCGAAAGGTAACAGTCTCCTATGTGCTTACTTATATCATCGTGTACACGACATCGTGACAACGGTTATTTAGCGAAATTGGGTCGAAATCGAAGCGAACACAGGTTCTTCGTGAAATCACGATCTCGTGTCTAACCCTTCGTTATTAAATTTTCTTTTTTCCTAATCGTTTATATTTTTGATCAAATATAATTGATTTTTAATAAATGGAGATTGATTTCGCAATATTTTATAGAAAAAATAAAATATCATGTTAAGTAATACGAAAAATCATAATCATAATATATTTTTTTCTTCGCTTTCATCACAGTATTTTCATCAGATTCGTTACAAATGAGATTAATTTATTTATGCTACAATTTTATAAATAATTTCTGAAAAACGAATAAAAATAATAATGGAACAATTGAAATTACAATTATTAAAGATATTGTTTAATTATCTTTTGGTGATATTGAAAGGTAAAATTAATGACCCATTAGCCCATAGAAGATTCCTCGGCAGGCTGATGAGGATTCGTGAACAAGCATACATATTTACACGAGTAGAGGAGCGTTAGTTGGACGATAAATCGGGATCGTCTTTTGCGAAACGCTTTTGGCCAGGCTCATTAGTTACGATTCAAGATTTGGCATCGATTCTCGACATCCAATTTCGTACATCGAACGATAATTTGTCGGTTCTGTTGCGTTCGAAAGTATCGGGACACTTGCCATTTTCTCCTTTTTTTTTTAATCTTAATTTTCATTTCATTTCATCTACTTATTCAAACCGAATCACAATTTCATATTATAGAGTTCAGGCAAAGGATCGTTAGTATTTGAAAATCGCAAAGGAACTTTTTCAACAACGAATAATGGGTAACTATATTGAATATTCTTCTAAAATAATTCAGCATCGATGAATTATCATAATTTTCTTGCGAATCATATAAAATCGAACAATAATTCTAATAATCAAAGGGAGAGAAAAAAATTTGTCGAATTAAAAAGCTAGGTTATGTTAACTCTATCGTTATTTTCCCATCGAAATTGAAGCATCTTATAAAATAAAATTACTTATAGAACAACCTATGTCACATTTCTAATTATATGTTAAATTATTTAAACAAAATAAATTATCGTACGTACCTTCGTTTCATTTCAGACGCGAAGTTCGATCCAGAAATTTCTTGAAACGAAGCAAGAATGTCCCGAATGAAATCGTTTTACAAACGACGGTGTATCGAATAGAGAGAAAGAGAAAAAAAAAAAAACAAGGGAAAAAACACGGGGAAAAATATAATCGAGAGTGTGCTCGAAACGTTTTTACGCCCTGGTTACACTGGTCGGCAGTGAGTAAACGTTTTCGAGCGACAACGCGGCCATTTGTGTTAAAACTGTTTGCCGGTGTTGAAATAATTTTTTAAGCGTGCCCGGCAAACAGTGAATAAATTTGCATCGAGCTGTGTTACGATATCGGACACGTTTTTTTTTTTATCTGGAGTAATGATCGCGCGTGTTTGATGGCCGAACGGTGTATCGTGTCAGTGTAATCGGAACGATTAAATTAAATCAATAATATATACCCCGTAATTTCGTTAAATAACTCTGCTGTATCGCCTGTAAATCGCCTTCGAGATAACAGAAAAATTTGATCGATGGAAGATTCCTATGATCGATACTGAAAATCTTCGTAAATCGGAATCTTGTGCCATACATGTCGAGATGAATGTGTAGGATCGATATTATTTTTAACGATATATTTTAATAATCATTTTAAATAATAATGTTATTATTTATTCTCAATAATATTTGTTAGATCAGACGCTAATGATTAGCACGTTTATCTAAACTAAATTTTTATGCAAATACATATGACACCAATGCGAATGGCAATTAAGTTTAAACGCTTAATTTAACTTTATCTATACAGAAGAGATGGGAAATGGTCAAATATGTTCCATATTATATCTCCACGATATGAAAGGATCTGTTTCGATTAAATATTTTTATCAATTCAATATTTTGAAAAAAAAAGTATTTAAACATAATAATATTGCAATATCAAACTTTGACACGATAAATAAGTGATAAAATTATTATTATAAATTCTAACACGCAATTCATACGTTTTAATTGAATTTGTTTTTCTCGCATAAAGATTTGCAATTTTATTAATCAACAATATTGCCTTTATCCGTTTAACCTTTCTAACGATCGATAAAAAAATGAAATTAACATTATATATCGAATATGTAATATTTCTTTTCGCAAATTCAACTGAGCAAGTATCTCTTGCCATATGAATATGCAACAACCGAATATCTATCTACACTTATGTATATTTATGTACTTTTATTTTTATTTATTCGCATATTTATTCGCGGAATAAATGCAGAAGAATGCCATTCTATGAACATATATATGTAAAAAAGAGTAGATAACTTATTCGAAAACTAATAATAGAAATACATCCAATTATGATATACCAAATGTACATGTTATCTACATAAATAATAAGTATTCGTATTAATAACAATTCAAATTTTATCGAATTTCGTTTATATAATCTACTAACAAGGTATTATTAATTGTAAAATTAGATATATTTCCAATTTAAATACAATCGTCTATTTTATCCTTGGAAAGATCAATATCCAATAACCTAATTATTCCATTCTTCGAGGTATCGAAAAGGTTAATTTTCGCCTTCGATCGTTTCCTTATCGATCCGGATCGATCGTTTTGTCCTGTTCTGGTCGAATTCATAAACGGTCGAGAACAATAAAATGGTTTTTGCATCGGTCGGGTCATTCGGTTATTCGCGTGTAAGCTGATAACAGCCTACATAAACGAGTCATCGAACACTGGGCTCATTCACACGACTGTCCTCCGCCTGTTGACCACCCACGACATCGATCATTCAACCGTTCTCGAGCTGAATGGAGATTTCCAAACTCATTGAACAAATATAGAACAAATGGGACCCGTGTACCGTGCCATTTATCGATCCAACAATGCGAATATTCGATCGATCAAAAATCTGAAATCATCTTTCTCTTCTTTTCCTTTTTTTTTTTTTTTTTGTAGCTTGAGAGAAATTTATTATCGACCTTAGTTTCTGAAATATTCCTAGATACACTTCATTTAACCTGAAAAATAAAATAAAAGAAAATGAATGGGTCACAATATAAGTCAGATTAGATAAAGTTAGGTTAGATCATTTCTATGTAACTTAACCTAAAATAAGCAAAAGTTTATAGACTAGAGTTTGAATCACAGATTAAATAAGCATCGAGAGTAAAAAGTTCCTTCGAGATAAATAAGATCATCGAAACCAATTCCTGAGAAGATCGTGTAGCGATCAAGGATTAATATTTTTTTTTTCTTCGAATTGGTGGTCGAGGAAAGGTCGAACGATAGCACAGTCCTCGTGAACATTGACGCGACACGACGCGTACCTTGTTCATTTCTCTCTTTTTCTTTCTTTCTTTCCGTGTTACACGTCTGGTCGAACGAGAAGGAAGGAAGGAAGAGAGCGTAGCACGGTGGTCGTCGAGTGGGCGGTTTCGTCTGGAGCCGGTGGTTTGCAGCGTATGTCGCCGGGTCAGGATGCAATGAACGGGCCCCCAGGTAACCGTACAGGTACGTACCGAATCGACAACGACGACAAGGGTGCCCCGGTGGTGAATGGCTCGAAGAAGACGAGGACCTCGTTAACTATGGCCTTGGCGCCGTTCGAGATGCCCGCTTTGATATCGCGGCTCTGAAAACTGAACAACCGGGCTCGTGGCGCGCTCTTCGTCACCTTCGTCTTCCTCCTTTCCCCCCCCCCCTCCCTCACCCCTTTACTCGCAGAGAAATCGATCGATCGATCGATACTCTTTCTTTCTCCAATGGAGTCGAAGAAAGGTGTATCCTTTGAATTATCCGTTGAGAGAATGTTTCAAAAGTATTCCGTTTGAGATTAAAATCTGAAATCTGAAAAGGAAGTCTTTAAGTTTCCTCAAATTATTCGGTTATTTCGTAGAGAAGCTAGTCTAATTTGCTGAAATTTCGAATAACTTGTCAATAATACAGTTTATAATTGTCAGATAATGTTATAAATATATTCATATACTTACATTACAGTCGTATATAACCATAATCATATATTTCAAATATCCATAACCTCTTACATTAGTCACATGTAATAATATATGATTTATTATAACGTAATCTGAAGAAAACAACGATAATTAAAAACAATTGAATGATCCAAAGTAACACTGGCCCATTAATTGCAATACAAATTTATGTAATCTGCTTTCAATATTGTATTCCTAACCTATAATATATAATCATATCCTTAAGCAACAGAGAAATATTTAATGATGTATAATTTTTTATTTTTTTCAACAATTTAAACAATTCTATCAGCCATTATATTATTTTAATAATATATGTAACTTTCTTCCTCTTATTTACAAATATAAAAAGATCAAAAAGATAGTAAGAAGAGAGGCAGAAGAGAGACAGAAGAGAGAGAGAGAATCGCCAAAGGCACCATTCACACGAGGGCCCCCAGAGTACCTGGAAACGGTGCTAATGATATGCCCGGGTCCCTGGTGAATGGAACCTTTCGGGAATTCTCCGACGGTTTCGTAGAATTAGGAATTCCGAGGACGGGTTCCTCTCCCTTTCTTTCTGACCTCCGTGTCTCCTGAACAGGGCTGACTCCATAAAGAGGCGGTTAGCAGAGGTGGATGGACCACTTTGTGGGAAACGGTTCTTTCCTTTCTCCATCTATATCGAGTCTTCTTTTTCTCGGCTCTCTCTCTCTCTCTCTGTCTCATTTTTCTTCTCATTCTCATTTCTTTATTATCTCGTGTCTTTAACTATTCTCAATCTTGTTTTTACTCTTTTATCTGTTTATTTACATCTTCTATCCTTCTCGTTATTTATATTTTTTCTCTCCTTCCATTTTTGCTTACACGTACTTCTTCTCCATTCATGCTCCGTCCCTTCTTATATCTTCTCTCTCTCTCTCGCTCTTTCATTCACATCTATTCACGTCTCTCTCTTGCTCTTATATTTGTATCTACTTATCTCCTCTCTTTCTCGCTTCTCTTATTCGTACTTACGCCCGCCTCTCACTCCTCCTGAACGTCACCGCTCGAGGCTGAGATTTATAAGCGCGAACGAGCGTTTCAGGGACGAGCTCGTTCTCGAATGGGAACAATTTAGAAGAATAAGGACGCGCCAGCGCGGAAGAGGGATGGGAATCGTCAAATCTACTGCAAAAATTGCTCCACGCGATTGTGTTCGCCACTCTGAATCACCGGAGAGATCGCAACGAGCCGAGTTTATGAGATTCGTCTCGATCCTTTGTAACGACACGCCATTGCGGTTACCTTTATCCCTGTTATTTCGTCCAATAAGCGTATTTTCCATTTCTCCTCGTTTCACTTTGTCTCGCTTTATTTTATTAATTTCCGAGAGAGAGAGAGAGAGAGAGATGTCGCGAGCAAAAGAAGGTTATTTCATTCAGTTCTGAAGGCAACTTGATCAAAGTGGATTCGATGGGTTAGGAGAAGTAGAAAACAGGTTTAACGGATACTCGTTGATACCGCGGGAGCGTCAATTGTTTTATAGGCTGTTCCCTCTTTCCTCTTTGATCGTGTCTCTTCGCCAGGCCCACCGACACTCTCGATTTCGTCGCTTTTTACACGGTTGTTAAGTTGGCCACTGCCGCCAAGGTGGCGCCACCTTGTACCATGCTTACCTCTACACTGCAAATAAAACAAAAACCGTCCTCGTCCTATTGGATTATTTTACGTACGTTCGACTACCTTTGAGGCGGTCCGAAAGAAATTCTCGTTCCCATTCTTCGGAGATTTAAGAGTCCCGATCTTGATTTGTATTCGAGTCAAAATCAGCCAGTAGAAACTTTGTTCTTCTTACATGAATCCTGACCTGAAGAAACTTAAATTGTCTAAAAGATAATTATTTCGAGGTATTCGTTTTAAATATTCCATTTCTTAAATATCCCTAACCCACAAAGAAGATTAAAGTGATTTGAAGGAACACTAACACTGTGATATACTCATCTAAATAAAGTAAAAGTAGACAAGAAAAAAGGAAATTTTTTTAATTCTTTTTTTCAACATCAGTCATAAAATAAAACTCTTAAATCTAAAATCCTTCTATTCATTGATCGAGAATAACAAATTCATACAATTTATTTCAAATATTATTCAACAAAAATAAAATGATTCGAAGCAATGCCATTTTCACGGTATTAAATAAAATAAAATTAAACTCGATACAATTCAAATTTACAGCTATATATATTCTATTCCAAATCAATCGTAAAATATTCTTCCAATTCTTACATTTATTAATCACAATACAATTGCATTCCTAACCTATAAAAATAACCTATAAAAATGATCCAGTGCATACACTAGCGGCAACTTATTCAATTCTAATCCAATGAAATCTCGAACAATTTTCCAATTTCACGATTATCTGTAATCTGAAAGTTATCTATCACTACAGCACGTGTCCAAAAAAACAGGATACTGGAATTCGACGAGCGGAAGTAGTCGGTAAGCACGGTCTCGTTTGATCGACGACATTCTACATCGAAATCACAGACTCGGTTCACGGAAATGGAAAAAGGACGAAGCGTTGCTTTTCGAGGGAGCTGGTGGCTTTTCGCTCGCTTCTTTTCGTTTCCCCTCTTGCTAACGAACCTATAAATATACGACGCTTTGAAGCGGCGTGTGACTGGCGCGCACGCGATTGAATAACCGGAAAGGCATCGCGAAAGGCTTCTGTAGCGATGTTCCGATAATTATAGAGGTACTGAGCGCCGATAATGAGCACTCTTGTTCCGTGAACATTAATTGAACAAGGACCACGCCTTTCAACGTGCCACTTTATACTCGGTTGTTGATTATAATCGTTTAAAGTGAAATATTGAAATTTGTTTATTCTTTGTCGAGGTGAAATTTTTCTCTTACCGTAGAAAATTTCAAAAGCCAATGATATTGTTAAGAACAGCTACAATGTGGAACATCGTGGTCGAAGAAATGGCAACGTTCGATTTAACGAAGTCGCTTTCTGTATACGAAGCAGTATAGTCGTGTTTTCTCTTTCCTTCTCGAACGAATATTGCATAATATCGTAAAATAGTAAAATATATTATAAATTGGTATCGTGTAAATAATTATACTGAAGTAAACTGAATTATTATTGTAAAAAAAAATTTGTAAATAAAAAAATATAATGAGTGTTTTATGAGGATATTATTAATATGGGTATCTGGCATTGTTTAAAATAAAATATAAAATGTAAAATATTTAATATTTTTTGTTGACACTGACATAAGAATAGCTAGATATCTCTTCACTTACGATAAAATTGATATAAATTTAGCGTTATTTTTCTGTCGAAAGATCGAATTGGATCATTATTATTTAAAATTTTATTTGGAATTTTTTTTACTAGAAATTTATTTTTTAAAATTTTTCACAACTTTTCACCAAAAGAATTCCAAACCCAATTTGCAGTTTTATTGTTAAAAAATTACTAGACTTAAAATTAATACTATAATTGGAATTAAATGTTCTTCAAAGTTTCAGAAAAATGAATTATTCATATTGTATCACGATAAAAGTAAATTTGGTTAAATCGTGGAAATATTTCTTATGCCTGTAAAAGATACCGATCAACGAAACGTCAGTTTCGTCTCGATCGTATACGATATACTCACGAATTCCAAGCTGCTTCATACATGACGTTTACACGAATTCTACTTGACAGGGAACAACAGCAATTGCAATTTGAAGATAACGGCCTCGTTAGCGAGACCATTCTCCCGTAAAATAGCGGTCTCCATTCTTTTTGCGTTCTACTCCCACACCTCCCCCCCTCTCTTCCTTTTTTAAACCTATCTATCAGTTGAATCAAATTAGTCTTTCCTGTTAAAAGGAAGACTTGTCAGGAATTAAATATATCATCTCGTAAACTTTGCACAAGTTTGTAATTTTTATCTCGTATTAAACGAGCCTTGACCAAGCCTTGTTGAGCTAATGCACTTTCATAGTAACTTTTTTTCTAAAGTTACTCTACATGTACATATATAAAAAATATTTATTATTTTGCTTCTTTTATCGATTAATATTTGCGACAAGAGTAAAATTTGCGAATAAAATTAAATCTCGATGACAAATTACATGTCAACATAACCTATATTAAGAAACGAGGGAGAATTGTTCAAGATATTTATCATTTTGTTTTTTATTAATCGAAGCTTGTAAAATTACATATTGAAAGGTACAAAACACATTGTTGGATAATAATTTTAATTTATCTTACCTTTTTTCCTTATTTCTTATAAAAATAATAAAAGTACGATACTTATTCGAGGTTCTTTCCTTTAAAAGGCACGTTATCATGAAAATTCGGAAAAAAGAAGTCACTAGACGAGACATGTCAAGAAGTATATTATCATCGAAATGTTTACCAACGATATCCTGTTTCCGGATCGAATTCGTCAAAGCTTCGACACATCGTTTGCGATCCTCGTCACCTTCGGCCCCCACGGTCAAGCTTAAGTTTGTTTGCCCCGTGGATCTGAGGTGACTGATCACCTTCGAAACCGAGAAGGGTTTTCGCGGCAAATCCTCGAGGACAGGGGCCGCGGTCGTGGCTTACGTGGCATCGTGGTCAAATACCGTCCTTATAGATCGACGACAGGCCCTCTTAGGCGTGAAGCCTTTGCTGCGAAGAAGCAAATATAAATCTCCTTCACTCTATTACGAGTATATATATATATATATATACGTAGAATGTTAATATATATTACAGTAGGCATCCTTTCTAGTAGAGATCAAGACGAGGAGAAAAATTGGTATGCAAGAATTTCGATTGTTTTAGGAAATTAATTAAATGCATACAATCAATATGATAATTACAAACAAAAATAATAATTGATATTATTATATTAAAGTTCAGCTTATTAAAAGAATTGTTAAAGCCTTTGGAAATGCAAGCAATTTAAGAAAAAAAAAAAAGTTAAGGTTATATTGACACGATCTATCGAAATCATTCATTACGTACATTGCGTTAAAAATTCCTCTAATCGAATATATCACCCATAAATAGAAGTAGTATGAATCGAAGCAGCACCGAATTAATTCGAACATCCAATATTCACCATCTCCTGTCGCGCAGCACCGAGTACGAACTCGACTAGAGGGCGCTCGACACGTCTCTCCAAATCTTCAGATCCGAATCCCACGTTCCTCCTATTTATAGACCTTTCGTATTCCACTATGTGCAGATATCGTTTCACCGACTGTGACATACGATCCGAGTTTATCAAAGTCCGCGAACGGGCTAATTTTTAATCGAGCAAGACCACGTTCAAGAGAGAGTTCAACTTCTCTTTCTCTCTCTTTCTCTCTCTCTCCAGAAGAGGGCGTTCTGCTTTGGAAAGATGAGAGGAGAGGATCGGCCACTTAATGCCGTGGCTCGAAATTAATTAAACTTTTGCGTTCGTCGAGAGAGGGGTGGGGGAGGAGGAGGAAGGAGAAGGGGGTGAAAATAAAATGTTGATGACACGGCAAGCCCGGTTCCGCAAAGCTCGACCCTGCCTCCGACACCTCCTTAATGGGAAAAAGGTAAACGAATTCTCACGCTGTTTCCCATCGGTCTGATAAAATAAAACGGAGCCCCCCTCCTCTCTCTCTCTCTCTCTCTTTCTCTCGTTTCGATTCGACGCCAACGAGCGGAGAACGAGGCGGTAAATCGGTGGTGCGAAGAGGGGTTGACGCACCCCTATTTTTTTTTATCGAGGTATTGAACGATGGAAAATTTGCCTGACAGGTGAAGTCGATGCGATTATTTGTACCGCGTAAATAGTCGACCAATAGTCGTTTATAGTTGCGTTGAGGGGTACAAATTTTTATACGAATATTAAACCTAACCTAATTTAGAACTGATCTTTAAAAATTCTAATTCTTCAAAAGTTTAAGAGTTCTTATTGTTTCTGCGCTATCTTAACTAATTGAAATTTTCTTCTTTCCAGTGTTTTCTTATTTATTTCTAATTAATTTCATATTAAAAAAACGTTTTGATAATTGAAATGAGAATACATTGTACGTGATACATCTTTAATACCTGAACAATCTTCAAATAACTAACTTAACCTAATTTAACCTAATTCGAAAATTTAACAATTCTTCTTTCTAATCTGTTTTCTTACATCTTTAATAATCTTCAATAATCTTCAAAAAACATCTATATTAAACTTTGCACAAATCATATAATCATGAAATTTGAACCAATAACCAATCAATACATGGATCTAAAACATGGTCTAATAGAAAGAATAAAACCTGCGTTCCACTTTTTCCATTCTTTCTCCCCAACAATATAAATTAAAGAATGAAAATTCTTCTTCTTCACGAGAATCCAAAGAGAGCAAGAAAATTCATTTGTATCGAGCTGCTGTACACGTGGTCGTCTCGCATTCTCGGTTTTAATGGATTGCAACGAAGTTGTCAAAGGTGGAATCGCGGCTTCAAAGCGATCGTGGGACGTCTGCTCTCCTAGGAAAAGGCATCTACGCACCGGCACCGATAACTCATCGGGACCTGTGCCCTTAGTACAAGCCATCACCGTGAGAGGGCCGGAATGATTAATGAACGAGCGCGAAATGTACTCCGATTAGCGTGGTCCGGGGCTTGTTTCTGCGCGCAACTTGTAACAAAGATTCTTTTCATCAGTCATCCGGATATTTCTGGGCCGTTTAATGGACCGGACACGCTGCAGGAAATGTACTGGACCCCTTGTATCGAGGGATCGAACTGTGCTTCGCTTCTGGTTAACTAATAACGATAGAGGGCGCGTTTCTGTTGCAGAGAAAGCGTATTCACTCTCCGCTTGGCTTGCTTTTCCTTCAAAAGGGCGGTTAACCTAAATTATTATCGCAGAAAATTGCCATTTCTTCGTGACGTGTATATTGATCGTATTATAAGTGAGAATGTCACGTGTAAAAATAATCTTAAGCTTTGTATACTCTTTGGAAATCTCGAATCCGGAGAAATTAGTTCATTATTTCAGGATTTTTACATAAGTGTTTTGATCTTTAAGTTTTAAATAAGGTTATGATGCCTTTATTTAGATATCTAGAGATTTGATCCATTCCTTCTAAATAAAAATATCTCAAAGAATACTTTGTATGGAATATTTTCTTCAGGAATTTTTTTAGATAGAATAAAAGCTCTTTGCAATGCCTATATTTTAACAAAAAAATCCTTTAGGGAATACAGAACAGGGTAAAAGTGATCATGATCGAGATTTATTACATATATCTTCTTCTTTGCACATTGGAATGATAATGGTAATGATTAATGAACGTGAACTGGAACGAAATATTGAATTAACTTCTCGTCGTCTGATATTCACGCAATCGCTTGCATCATCTTTCGTCAAACGAGAATTTTATATCATCGTTTACGGGATACTTATTCAAAGCAAAAATATACCCAAATCATTTTTATCAACTATCTATGAAAATTCATAACAATATATACGTTCGATCAAAGCACTAAATATTAATTTTGAAATTTTATTTTTATATTTTTGAAAAAAAATCTTGCATCTTCTCGCATTCAAACGTTCCGAGAATCATCTCGTTTAGTCACTGACAGAGCGCGTTTTCATTCGTTCATAGCCCTCTATGAGACGCGATTAATCCCACGATTAGTCTTTATCAGAGGGCTACCGTATCCGTTTCGAGGTTAGTCAGACAAATCTCGCGAGTTTTTCCCGCGTCGTTTGATCTTTGACCATCCTAATCCTGCTCCTCTTTTGAGATCGCAATTCGTCGACGCCTCGTTCCTTCAACTGATTTCTAACCTCTGCGAGCCAAAGCTCGGCTGGTTGATGGATGGACCGACGTCGCGCGAAATATACGCGCGCTCGTTTCGGGCCAGGAATCGAGCTCACTCGAGTGTGGAGTTGCTCATTTACGGCCACGGTTTCGAAATAAAAACGGTAAGTGAACGGTAGTGATGACATTAAGCGTAGGTAGAAGATAATCTAACCTATTTCATAGCTCTTGTGAGCTTGTAAGTTAGGTTTTCATTGTGCATAAAATGTTCAAGAAATTCCAAATATGCGGGCCTTTTCATTACTAAATAATGAAAAAGTTACGTGTTTGCTCATTTTATGTAATACAATGCCTCTTCTTTCGAATGCACGACGAATTTACGAAAAAAATCCTCCTCGAATCTTCGTCGAATTAAAATAATCGATAAAACAGAATAGTGATTATTTAAGATAGTATAACCTATTTCATGACTCTTTAAGTTAAGTTTTCATTTAAAAAATCATAAAATGTTCAAGAAATTCGATAAGAGAAAAAAGTTGCACTGATCATTGCTTGCTTTTCGAACACGATGCCTCGAATACTGTGGACAAAAATCCACATTCTAATAATAATCAAAAATTTGCCTTGTATTTCTTTCGAATACAAATATACGAAGAAAATCCTCCTCGAATTAAAATTCGACGAAAAATAATCAATAAAACAATCGAAAACGATATACTAATTAACCAAGACAAACAGAAATTTGGCCAGCAATCCATGAAGCCATCATTCACCGTGTATAACCTCACAATTCAATCCTCGAATCAAGCCCATCGCTAGTAAGACGAGTTCGCAGACCGAGAGACGAGCGCATTCCTCTTCGTCCGCAGAAGCGTATTCGTGGTCGACGAAACTATTCCCGTCCCGGCCGCAACCATGAATCTTTTTCCACCGTCTGCTCGACACTTTTCGACGCGTCGACGTGGTCGCAACGCGCGAACACGCGCCTCTCTCTCTCCACGCGGCGATGATTTGTTATCGAGGCGTGTCACGGAGGCGTGAGCGCGTCGCACGCTCGATCTACGCGCGGAAAGCACGCGACGTACGAAGGTGAAAAGGCGCGAGGAGGGATCCATTCGAAGCCGTTGAAAAGGCATCGCGATTCGAACACGTGTTCCCGAATCGAGGTTTTCTTTTGGCGCGTGCTTTCGTCGACTGTGTCGTTGCTCGACACTCGAGTGGAGATTTTGAAGCGAGTGTCGATGAGATAAATTGTTCGTTTAATTTCGTATGAAGATTGAAATAAGTGTTGATTTTTTGATTTATACGGTGGGGAAAAAATGATGTAAGATAAAAATGGCGATCGTGACGCGACACTAGCGCCACGTGGCTATTAACTAGTTACAGAACCATTTTTATTAATGAAAATTATGTTTAAAATTAATCGGTTATTATAGTGTTAACAGTGATTAAATGTTCTTTTTAAATCCAATTTAATATCTCACGTTATATGGTTTAACGAAGATTGGTTTTTGATAAAAAATATCTTTGAGAAAATTAATAATCGTCACAAATCTTTTTTGTGTTTTGTTTTAATTAAAATATTTCATATGTTTTTCACAAAATATTAAAAAATATTCACCAAATTTTTGTACTGCACTTACAATCACCTACGCGACAAAATCTGTCCAACGCAGCTTAGCTCACAACGTGCAAAAAAAAAAAAAATCACACCGATTGCTCTATCCATCTCACCGTTCAGTTAACGCGTCTCAGTTTCCTCGTCTTGGAATCCGTGGAGCTAATTGGATAGAGGTCGCCAGCGTAGGAGATAATGGATATTAATTACCACGTCTTACTTTCCGCGGCATTAAACATTTTCTTGAAGACGGGTGGACGGGTGGAGGGTGGTTGAAGGGAAGGGGGTTGCGGCCACCATCCCTCATTGTTAGCCTTCTTTAAAAAGACGCCGTCCTCCGTTAAGTATAATAAGTACCGAGTCTTCTCCGCCTCGTCTTTTCGCAGCCTGGTACACCTCTCCCCTCCCCCCCTCCTTATAATCCATCTAAATTTTAAGAGCGGATCAGCGAATCCCCCGGAAAACTTTGCCACCGGAGTTGCCGCGGTAATCCATTTAAATAATTCCCAGAGTCGAGGCGACACGAAAGGGGTCCTCTTCCGCGTTCGACGTGTTCGTCCTCTTCTGCCGTCTTCTTCGGCCTCGACATCGTTCACCGTTGACTCGGGATACTCGTGCTTTTCGAGGAAATCTCGAGATTCGTACATTTCGTTCGCCTTCGTTCCTCGAAGGATTTCGTTTCGTTCTTCTTTTCGTTGATTTTGCAAATGGAGATGCATTATGATCGGTGACGTTCCCTGAAAAATTAAAGGGTTTATTGTATGAGATAATATCTGTCGCAGGATTGGAAAAGAAACGTTATCAATTATCCAGAAATGCTTTTTCGATTTCTTTGCGTTGTAGTCACTATTGATCGATGTATTTGTCGATCGATAAACTTGGCGATTGAGGTTAGAATGGTTAGATTTTATCGTTTTGTAAATTTATTTTGAATATTTGAGATATCTGTACACTTCTATCCATTTGTTTCGAAAATTTATTATATATT